GTCATGTACAATCGTTTTAGAGAAGTTTGAAGAAAAGTCTAATTTTGGTCCAAATTTCATAAAAATGTAAGGCTAACCCCTTGCAATTTTATGTCAAAATTTTGCAACATGATTTTTTTCTCCTGACGTATACAAGACACCTCTTGGTCTTTAGGACATTTTCCTAAACATCTACAATCATTTTAAAGCAGTTTGAAGAAAAAGCAAGCTGCCCATCTGCAACTTTAATACTGTACCACAAAATTTCAGAAAATGGACGGAATTGTCATAAGATTACGATTCTCGCCCCATGGCCTCTACCAAGACAACACACTGCAAGGCAAGGGGGAAAAAAAACGTCAGAAATTGTCACACACAATTTCTGTTTAGAAATAATATCAACAAAATTGTTCACATGTAGAGAGAGCTTTGTTACCAAACCGACAACTATATCTAGGTACTTCTCATCACACAGTATGGTCTCTTTTAAATATTCATGACAAAGTCTACATGCAACACATCCATTTACATCAAACATACTTCAAAACAGAGTTAAAAAATGTTATCAATATATAAGTCAATTCTTAATTATAATCATTTTACACAAACCAACTTGTGAAGTGTCAAGGTGTCCAATTTAATACTGTAAAATTCTTTGTACCAACGTTTGAGTCGAGTCGGTGATATACAAAACTAAAGATCAGTAATTATTTACAGAATATTACTCAAAGTATATGTATGTTAAAAATCTCACTTATAATACAGTTAATATCTACATTTGTCATCCCTGATAAAGAGGGAAAGACTTGACAAGATTTTTCACTGTAATCTTTGGTATTGGGCAACATACTAAAAAATACTTTGCGAGATAAATAGATGTTAAATATAGCAGCCATTTTAGAGGGATTTTGCCTCCAGAGACAATAGAGAGTTCCCAATATGACGCTTTTAGCGTCAATCTGCGCACTTCCACGTTTGAAAAGGAGGCTGTATGTGTCAGCTTCAATTCTTAGTACGATCAGACAATGGAAAGTAAGGAGTCAAGACACAAAGTACATAACGGTATGTTAAATTCAGACTTTTCAAGCTGCAAATTTTGTGGAAGAGTCTTTCAGGATGACTCGACACGTAAAATCAAAAGAAAAAGTAACAGCAATTTACCGCGAACTAACGAACCTGCGATAGTTCAACACAGAGAGCCTCGGTTTCGATGCGGATATGCGCGCAGACAGCGCTAATGTGAAATCCCTCTATGAATGAATGACTAGTCTCCTCATGCCCATTAAAGATGGGCCGCGTTGAAATTAGGTTTCACCCTAAAAGACCAGGGTTATTTTGGCTCCTCTCACAGCTGGGGGCCCAAGAACTTGCTCGACTTTTTTGAAACTTGGCATGCATGAAAAGAAACTCTTTATCATAACATATTTGAACTTTGAATTCAATCAGACATGTAGCTTAGTTGGTATGGTCATTTGAAATTCAAGGCTACATATGTGCCAACCCGCGTCCATTGAGCACCGCAGTGGAAAAGTATACATTTTGGCTGACCCGTCTCGGAAAGATGCGCAACAGCAGTGTGTCTGACATTGCAAAATTGATGTCAAACTGACTGCAAAGAGTTACTCTAAAACTCCTTCAGGCTCAACTCCTGAAAAAAAATGTACTGTGGAGATATCAGGAAATATGTTGGGGGGGGGGTTGGATTTCCCCCCTAGCTCTTTTAGGGTTAAAAGAACCATGAACAAATAAGATAAAATGCTGTTTCACCTGTCCAACGAGGAACAGATTCATGACACACACACACTGCAAGACAATAAAAAGCTTCCACCACAGGGATATTTTTCTAAAACAAAACCCAAATTGTAATCTGCTTAGCTGCTCCATAAACAAAGGCCCTTGGCCAAAGGTCGTGGAATCATTCCACAGACACTGTTGCTTAGCAATATCAATGCAGGAACCCAGTGAAAAGCAGTGTGCACCACAGAGGACAACTGGACAGGTTAAACCTGTTCCCACAGGGCAAATATTCTTTCATAAATTGATTGCTGATCAAAATGTCCACGCTTACCAGCTCCTCATTGTCAGCTTCAGATCTGGGACTGAACTTCTCACAGCTCTAGAATGGAGTCAAATAGAAGTTAAATCAATAATTATAGTTCGTGAGGTACGATTTGGTATCTTTATCACTTCATTTGTAGTAGTTCTTCCCGACAGCGTTGTACATCCGCAGGAAGTGCACATGGCCACTGTCAAAGCCCACCATGGCCGTCTGATTGTCTGGCGAGAACGTATAGCAGGTGACCTTGGCCACTTGCAGCATGAATTTGCCGACGGGCTGACCGGTGCCCACTTTGGAGGTGGTCAAGATGCCCTCGGGACCAATGCAGTTCAGCAGGATGCTTTCCAGCTGCTTGTCCAGCGGTTGTCTGGGGTTGATGTAACCGTCTGCTGGCATCACCATCTTGTTATAAGCTCCCTGAATGCAGATGGTCTTCAGGAGTGGTTCCGAGCCGCTGCCAAAGACCTGGACGACAGCCTCGGTGACCTCATCTCCCAGTCTGTGACCGTTGGTCTTCAGGGTGGCACCAGAGACCTTCCGCTGGTAGAACATGATGCACTTGTCCGCAAGGACACCCAGTTGGTGGAACCGGCCCACTGAGTTCTCCAGCTGGTGTTTTCTGAGGACGTTCTGGCGCTGGACGTCCCAGACCAGGAGCTCGGGTGAGCCGTGGTGGTACTCAAGTTTGTCAAAGCGGATGGTGGAGGCCATCATCTGCTCGCTGGTCATCTTGACAGTCAGAGTGACCAGCCGGCTGCATTCGGAATTCAGTGTGGCTGCAGGAACCTGTTGGTATGACAAGAAATTGGAAATACAACAGACTGGCAGATGCCTAAAATGGGACAGTTTCTGACATGTCCTTGAAATTTTAGGTAGGCGGTTTCAAATACGATACAACATCCAAATATAACCCTATAATCAGGCTATGTCCCCAACATCTGGCTGTGGCTTGCAGTATCACAGGCCTCTATAGGGAATGATGCAGCAACTAGCTTGTGGCTTCAGTAAAGCATGCATTTTGTCGGCCACAGCCATTAGATTTGGACCCAGGCTCACGAGGAGGAAGGGAATTCAGTGACAATAATCATCCACATACATTGGGAAGGGGGTAGGGGGTGCAAGGGATGAACCCAACCATTTCAATGAGGGGGGCGGGCACTGGTCCCCCTATGTTGGCAGGTCCCATAAGAGGCGGAGCTTAATGGATTGGTCTATTAATGGCTGACACCTGATGGTCTCAAAGCTGGTCCCCCCCTCCCCTTTGAAAAACTGTTCTGTTGCTGTTGCCCACATACCAGGAAATTAGCACCGTGCTTGAACTCCTTGACGTCCTGGGCGTAGGCCTGGACAGGCGGCAAGATGTCCGGATTCTGCAGCCAGTCCCTCAGGGCCGCGGCTGGCAGGACCTCGTAGAGGTACAGGATGCCTGGACGGTTGGACGTGGTGAAGCAGGAAAGGAGGGCCTGCCGGAAGACGGTGAAGGTGAGGTGTGGGTTCACGTAGGGCAGCAGTCTGAGGACGGAAAGAAAACAGGACATATTAAATCAGTCTGAGGACAGAACGGAAACAGGAAGTTAAAAACAATCAGGATGTGAAGATTAGGTGAGGGTTCACACAAGGCAACTGTCTGAGGATCGATAGAACATTGGACTCTATAATCGGTCTAAGGGCAGAAAAAAACAGGACTTTCCAAAAACTTGAGTATGTGAAGATGAGAAGAGGATTCATTTAAGGTAGCAATCCGAAGACGGAAATACAAAAATCAGTGAGGGGAGACAGGGAAAACAGGACAATAACAAAAATCAGGACATTAAGATGAGGTATGAGTTTCAAGAGGAAGCAGTCTGGGGACAGCAATCAGAGGACATTAAAATAAGTCTGAGAAAAGAAAAAGGACACTAAGAATTAAGATGTGAGGGTGAGGCAATGATTCCAATAAGAAGCAGTCTAAGCAAACAAAAACAGACATCACGGCAGAGACAGTTGATCTGAATCAAAAATATGTTCATATTCCTGCTTCAATTTACCTGTGTATTCCCTTGATGACCATGTTGTCGGTCCTCAGTGGGGGGCTCTTGAGGTTCCAGATGTCAAAGTCGTTGCCATTGCAAGAGCCCACGACGAAATTAGCAGATATGCACAACACCTCGCCCGGCTCTGCAAATCACAACATGGTGAACAAAATTACCTGAATTAATCTTAGCTGACAGACAGCTGACACCAGACACGAGCCCAGTTTGGACATACGGACTCCAATTTTTTTTTTTTGGGGGGGCCCTACAAGACATTACAGCACTCCACACTGATCGCACTTCCAAAGTGCTCTGATCCATACTCACTGCATGACTCGATGGACTGAAGGTGGTGAGTGACCTTTGGGGGCGTCGTGGTGACACTCCACACCAGGTGATCTTCACTGGGGGAAGAGGACACAGCCAGGCGGCCATCGTCCGAGTAAACACAGCCATCAACAGCTCCGCTGTGATTCTGCAATAAGATGGAAGACATTGGGAAAGTCCCCTTCAGTGCCAGCTAATATGAATATTCATCCATGCTATGAATATTCATGAAGTAACATGTACAGCAATGGTAAGCAGGGAACCAGTCGAAAGCAACAGACATCATGCACCATTTTTGGCTGTTAACCTATGCTTTTGGCTAAGCTGTGGGGGGGGGGAGTTGAATGTTATTCCTACCTCATCCTGTACGGTGATGTGCTTGGTGATACTGGCCGTATCCCAGATCCGGACTGAACAGTCCTGGCTCCCCGTGGCCAGAAGCTGGTCCTCGTTCTGGGTCTCACCAAAGTCTGCTGCAAGCACAGGGCCCTGATGTCCCTGCAAGAGGCACCACTCCACCGTAGGCTGGAGACGAAGGACCTACCCCGTCAGGCAAATAAAAAGGGGTGATTATTTACCAGAACAAATCTGTCCAATTTTCAGGGTTGGTAAAGTGTCTTATACTGTTATCCGACCACCAGAATGAGAAGCCATTCCTGCGGTGGCGCAACGCTCGTGGACAGGTGGTACAGGCGTGTTCCATGCCTCTTTGACCAAGCTGAAGAACACGAGTGTGGCGCCACCGCAGCTACAGCGTCTAATCGGATTAGTCTGTAGACAACGACATGGCATTTTTAGTCTTTGTCTAGTGCCTGACTAAAAAGATAGGTTCAAACTTCTTGCAAGTGTCAAAGCAAAACAACTCCATTGTCGTACCCACAAACATCCAAACTGAGAAAACAAGTGTTTACGAAACGTCTCCACCAATCAGAGCAACCAGAGTGTCCTCTTGTGAAGACCTAAAGTTTACGCAGTAAATACTGAGTACTAGTTAGGACTGAATAAGTCTTTCATTAAAATGAATGACTGTCACAGAGGTGCCTCTAGGTGGTTCTTGTAAAGTCATGTCCAAATCGACTGGCTGCGGCTGTAAGGCACACATGAGTCTTTAGGATATGGACTCAGCCACTAGCTAGTGGCTTTTACAGGTTTATAGCCACAGCTGTAACATGTGGACGGGGTCTTGGCTACCCTGATAACATGGGCCTAATGAAACCTCCCCAAGGGGCCTTCAGGACCAAATCTTACCCTCAGGTCATTCTCCCCGCAAAGGGAGGCCACAAAGTCCAAGTTCTTGGAGATGGCGGAGGAACCCGTCTGGCAGGTCAGTGACAGCTTGTGGCCCTGGGCCTTGGTGTTGTTACCCCTGACGGCCCAGCGGTAGGTGCCATTGGGCAGCACGCCCATCAGCCGCTTCCCGTCGCCGGAGAACTGCAGGTTACAGCTATTGAGCTGGGCCTTGAGGTTTTGGGTCTCAAAGTGCTTGGTGTCCTTCACGGTGGGAAAGAAAAACTAGACTATTTACTGAACAAGATGGGTACAGTTTGCAAGTCAAGTTTGAGTGATCTCATTATAGCAAAGTTAGAGGGACCACACAAATTACTTTGTAGCTGAAAAACTAAGAAAAACGTAAGATACAAAGAGAAACTGGGATTCGCAGACTTTGCCCATTTTAATAGGATTTTGTTATCACAGCATTCTGTATATCGAGAGTGGACTGCATATCAATTCTATTTAGCATCTAATCATAACACCTTAAAAAGTTAAACACTTTTGAAGCACTGGGTTCCCTATTTTTTTCCTGGGAGTTGAAAGTACAGTAAAGAATCTTTTAAGAACTACATTTAGAGCAAAAACCAATATAATTGTTCATTTGGTTTAGCTCATGGCCAAATAAAAAAAAAGATTTAAAAGTAGTTTTGAGAAACTTTGCACTCACTGTTTCCTTGGCCATATCCCAGAGGAAGACATCCTTATTGGCAATAGCCAACAACTTTCCACCAGATGCGAAGGATACGGCTTTGGGGCGACACTGAGGTAAACATCAAGAAATGAACCCAAAATGATTCAAAACTGAAAATGTTTCTGAAAGACAGTTGGGTCCAGGTAGGCGGGGGCCATTTTAATTTCAAATACTGAAGATCTCTCGGGGGGAAACCGACCAATCTGGAGTAATTCGGGCATTTTTCAGCAATACCTTGAGTTCTTTTTTCTGCACCAGTTTCCCGTCATTGGTACTGTAGACGTTGAGCCGGCCGAAAGCCACAACGTAGATGTGTCGGTTGGTCTTGGGTATGCACACGCTCACTTGCTGCTCCAGCTCTGTGGGTATCTGCAGTACAAACTTACCTACGAGAGAAAAAGGAAACAAAATTCCCTCCATTTGTTCCGTCTTTCTTTGGCCATAACATTGATGGGTGATCCCGACTGCTCTTTCCTAAAGGTATTCAGCATAGCCGCCGACCTACCTTTGGCATGCCCGCCCTGCCCTAGCCCCAGGAAGTTAATGCCGGTCTTCTCCAGGACGGCCAGCCAGTGGCAGTGGGTGGGGAAGGCCATCTTGATGGGGTCGGCCTCGGCCGTGACCTCCAAGGCTCCGCTGGCAACCTGAGGAGAACACAGGCACAGATCACTGGATGGGCTTTAATTTTTGGAAAGTTTGGAAAGATCTAAATATTAGCAATTCCAACAAAACACACTTAAGCTTCCACCACATATGCAGATCCATTCTAGACTTAATCTTAGGACCATAATTCGAAGCAGTTACTGTGATGGTACTGCCTGTAGACATCTGCAACAGGGGTGTACACAACTTGCCGAACTGTGTGCAAACTTCAGGTTAATAATGATGAAAGAATTTATATTTTAATTACCGAAAATGGGTCACTTGGGAGACATTCCCATAGGAACGTGCACAAACTTTACTGTCCCATAATTCAATATTCCCTAATCTGATACGAACCAAACTTTGTCTGTTTTCAATTTAGACCCTAATCTATCATCTCTCAAAATGTGGACGGTAAAATTCGGCCTCCCTCTGGTAGTTGGAACATTAGGGAGACATTGAAATGTCTCCCTAATGACCGATGTCTCCCTAATGTTGAAAAATTTCCCACAAAATGTCTCCTAAGTGACCTATTTGGAAATATTTCATATAGTGTTTCACATAGTACGTCTCAAAATGCTTCACAAAATGTATTACCAATAATTCATGATTAGTGAGTAAAATGTTTATTAGTACAATATATACAAAATTGTTGAAAATTAAAATCAAGATAGATAAAATGTTATTGAACTTAGGCGAGTGAAGGACCACAGCAGTAGACCTATTACAGAAGTTATAAAATGAAGATATCAGCTGATTGAAAGAAAACATTGGACACTGTTCCAAGCAATCACTAGGGCCCTAGATGAAACTGGAATGTTGAACGTACCCTCCACACTCGCACCGTGCGGTCGGTGCAGGCCGTGGCAAGATATTTACAGTTAACAGAGAACTGGCAGAGCCTGACCGGCGCCGTGTGGGTCAGGGTCATGATCTCGGCTCGCTTGTTCTGATCCTTGGATAGGTCCAACCAGGTAAACACTGTGGGAACAAACAACAAACAATAAACAAGTGGAACATTTTGCATTCTTCACTTCTTCTTTTTAAAGATAAATCGAGAACGCGGACTAGGGATTTTTTTGCTTACTGTGTTTCCCTCTCACGGCCAGGTACTCCTTAGCCACTGCTGAGCAGGTAGAGGAGTCAGGCTCATTCAGTGCCTGCTGGCAGATCAGCTCCGGATGTCTCTGGATGATACTAACGTTGGAGCGTACCATGCGATAGAAGTCCTTCAGCTTGGTGTTCACCGACTCGCTCTTGTCGGCAGACTGTGGAAAACGACGGAGAGAATAGTAAAGTGGATCAGAGGAATTCTCCGGGTTTTTTGCAGGGGGGGCAGGCAATGGTACACCAAATTTCCACCCTTATAAAAAGTAAATTTATTCGTCTGAGCCGTTTCTGTTTCCTTGAAATGAGATCTGAGTATGACTGACCTCCGCCAACTCCAGAAGAAGTTTGTAGATGCGTCCTGTCCGACATTTTGCCTCTACCCAGGGTATTGAACACATCTCCTGTGACATGAATAAAAAAATCATCCCTACAGTAAGTGGATATCTCATCCATATTCTATAACAACGCTATGAAAGCATGCATAATGCACGGTTAACCGTCTGGCGCTTTCCTATTCTACCAAGTGACCAATCCAGATAGTGGTTATATATAAAATGAACACATAAAGACAAAGATTCCATCTTTTGATTGGTTGAGGGTGCATTGCACAAATCAATGAGGATTCTGGGGAGAAAAATCACTAATAGATGACAGAGAAATTTGCAACGGCAAATATACAAGTTTGGCCATCGCGGCAACTCACCATCTCGCATTCCTCCCAGAGGTTGCCCCGTACCAGGTGCCGCGGTAGCTCTGTCAGCTTCCTGAGGTTCCAGTGGATGGTCTTGGGCTTGGTGGTGCTGCTGACATCGGTGAAGGACCGCTGCTGGCAGGCTGAGGCGGAGTTCAGAATCAAGGGCTGGGATTGGACGCGGCGGTGGGCCACGGCCAGCTTGCCCGAGTCCTTCTCCGTGTAGGGCTTGGGGGTGTCGGCCCATCTATCAAAAACAAAACTCCTCCTGCTGAACTTTCTTTTTATTTGAATTATCTCTAGATGACAAAAAAAGGGTTCTTCAGCTCTCAAATGTAGGTGAGAATACAAGATTATGAGAGATATAAGGCACATGTGTTCATAGGCAAGAAACGCTTCTATTGCAAATAGCTTCTCCCTACCCATGAGTACTGGTACCTCTGATATAATATCAAACTGCGGACTTGCCAGGGGGCTAAGATGATTTCAAAAATGACTTGTGCAGTGTGCACTTTAGGAATACAAATTTCTACCTGAGTCTCTGATTCTATCTTGGGGGCACTGTTGGTATGAGCCCCTGCACTTACCGCCCCAAGAAGTACATGGCCAGAGCTTGGTGTAGCAAAGGCCCTGACTCCCCCAGGTACATCTGTCTAGCCGTCTCATAAAACAGCCTGTGATACCAACGGTAGACCACTGAGTTATCCACGCCGCCTTCCACTAAGTAGTCACCTGAAATACCACAAAAATGCCACTCTGATTACAGTGCTGCTAGTGACCACCCCATCAGTCAATAGTTGGATGACAGTGACTGGCACTTCACATGGAAGGTTCATAAATTGGCACTAAAGCCCAAACTGTCAGTCAATATTTGTAGACTGACTGGCAAACATAACATTATCTTCTGAGGTGATACTGTAACCAAAGGAGGGTTTATTTCCCTGGTTGCGAGGGCAAGAACTAGTGCCTTCCTTGTCAGTCAGTAGTGGTATATGGCATGGGTGCCTCACCTAAGTCTAGCCGGAGTCGGGTCCACAGCAACGGGGGCAGCCTCCTGATGGGTGGAATGTGATACTGGAAGACATCGTCTAGCACGACGTCGTCACATGACAGCACATCGATCAGCTCGCTGGCCGACAGACCAGAGGTGGAAGCAGTCAGGTAGCCTAGGGCATGGCGCACAAAGATCTCACCATGTTTGACTTCCAACCTGTCAAAACAGAAATACACTGAAATTCAGGAAACTGATCTGAACTCTAGAATAAACATCGGGTCGAAATTGAAAAAAGCAGATTACGTTAACACCTGAAGCACCTTGGCAAGCAGTCACTAGTCTGAAAACAGCTTCTATTGGTGATAAAGTCAGAGACTGGCTGGCATATGTCAAGGTAATGTCTTGGCTTGATGAGCTTTGGGATCATGGTGGGATAAGTTGGAGCAATGACCATTTGTCACCCGTTGGTTGATTTTCTCTGGTAACCTCTGCATAAAAAGTATCCTGACTACCAGTCATAATTGACAAGGGGTTGACAAATGGTAATCGCTTTTCGTAAACTTACTGTTTGAACAGCTGCCTGATGAGGCCTGGTGTGCTGTCCGCCAGACGGCACTCCTCCATCGGCGTGTAAGAACGCCAACGCATGGCGATGTCGCAGGCCAGCCGGGTGAACAGTGGAGTCGGGTCATTGTCATGGTGGGCATTCAGCACCAGACTTTTCTGGTCTGGTTGCAGCCTCCTGCCGGCCTTGTTCAGCATCATATCGATCAGGCTATTCTGGTCCTGCTCGTCTAGTCTCAAGACTTCGAGATAGGACTCCTCATGCTGTGAGAAAAATTACACCATGGAAACACATCACACAGTGACTTGATCTAAAATACATTCATGTTGACAAAACAATCCTGAAAATGTTGATTGTCTAAACTCTGTCCATGCTACCTTGACAAGGTTTTTCATGGCGGACAGGGCACCCCCAGCATTGGGTCGGATCGTCACGATGAGATGTACATGCTTGGGCAGGACGGACCTTAACCAATGGAGGTCGCGACCTTCGTTCTCGTTACTGAGCTGATCCAAGGAATCCAAAAAGATCACTGCAAACAAGACGATAGACGTAGAAAACTTCATTTAAAGGTTGAACGCAAAAAACAGTATGGAAAGCACATCGTATCCAATTGCTCTGAAGAAAGAAAGGCAAATGTGCAATAAAAGTAATGTTTCTGTCCTAAAATCATGTCTACTGACTGAAGGGCTTCTCTGCAGTTGCTCTGCCTAGTAGATCATGAAACTTGGCCTCAAGGAGTCTGTACTCAGTCGGCACTGAATCTTGGTCCAAATTCAGGCAGTAACTCAGCTAGAGAAAACGAGAGAGAGAGAACAAAAACCCATAAGCATGAATATCAAGTTACAAAACTCAAGAGAAGCTATGCATTATGAACAGGGTGGGGTGAAAGGTCACAGGGTACCAATGCAAGATGCTTACTTGTAAACAGATGAAGTAGAGCAGATCTCGGATGTTGGAGGAGTGCGGTGTACTGGCAATGAAACGCATCAGATGAACAGGTCTGTAATTCAGAGGTAATTATAAAATGTATACTTCAAAAAAGATGACAAATACTGACTGTCGTCTTAACCCGTTTGTTGAAGGCAATCTCTCCACTTGCGAGGTCTTCTGAGAAAATATGGGACTTGGCTCCAAAAACTAAGAGCTTGGAAGATCTTCTGGCACATTAAAATTTGGCCTGAAAATAGAAGGGCTTCTTTATTACTTTACTGCCCGTAATGCGGGTCCAATAGTTAATCAATACAAGGTGTCATGTGGAGCTAAAATAACCTTGCACACCAGGGGATTCCTTGGATGTAAACCTACCTCCCTATTTCACATCCCTTCCAAGATTCCAGGGATCGACTGATGACCTTGGCCAGCAGAGAGGACTTACCACTGCCCCCACAGCCGTGAACCACAAAGGGCTATAAAGAAGAAACGTCAGTAAAATGATTGGAAAACACTTCACTTTACCATCTATCTCACACAACATAACAGGCATGTTAGACTTTGTTTCTGAAATTTTTTTAATATTAAACAGTTTACGAATATTAAGTCTCATCATATTTAATGAAGTATAAGAAAACCTTTTTGTTTTCGACCGTCAGGAAGGAGAAAATACTCCAGTTCTGAAAAGGGCAAAATGGAAAAAAGAGCCTCCAAACTTGTCAAGGAGGGACGGGCCAATCCAATCAACAGTGACAACAAGGGTCACGGGAAGACAACGGCGAGAAAAGATCATGTGACAAAGGGTCTCACAGCCTTGGGCGGGAGGGTCAAAGACAGGATGTCTGTGGGTACGAGCTTACTCTTTCGCCGTGCGGCCGCTTCAAGTATGCCATCAAGCTCCCGATCAACCTCTCTCGTCCGGCAAAGAAGTCCGCCCGCTCGCGGCAGAAGATGCTGTGACTGATGACCTCGGTGTAAAGAGAATCATCCAAGGCACTCGCTAAGGACAACGCACCTGATATAAACATAAACAAAAAGGGCTTGTTTACATTCTAGTCAAGTCAGACAAGTTTCTGATTTCATAGACTACAAGATTCTGTCCATTTAGACTATCACAGAAATATGAACCTGATCTCATATTGAAACTTGATCTAAAATAAACTGCGAATGGAAAGGAAAGGCTTGTGTTTTGAATGGGAAACTAAACACTCGTTGAAAAATTGCTGTCTTACCCTGATGGACTGATTTCACGAGGTAATGGCAGAATTGATCCAGAAAATTTCGCAGGTGGTCCTTGTTCCTGTCGTCTTTAAACATGGCCTCTGCGGTCGGCAGAAAGTGGAGGCTATATCTGGAGGGAAAATGTCGGATTATAGATCTTCGTTTGAAGAAAAAACACTTTGTACGAGAATAGAGGAATTCTGCAAAGCAGACAATTTAAGCTGGAGCTTGCAGTTGAAGCCGACGTCAGAAAAAAAACACATTAAAAATGATCCTTTGGACTTTTCACACAAGTCTGTCTTGCCACTTGCTGTTATTTTAAGAAGTATCAGTTTGCAACCAAGATGACTTTTTAAACTGAAAGCATCTGCTTTTCGTTTCAATTCAATTTAATTCCAGTTATATCCTCCTCGTGACAAAATGTAAGTAGTAACAATGTATGAGATAACAGGCCACTGGAGGACGCATGCCATTACACGAAATAAACAAGGCAATACAAAAGAAACGACAAAATACAAACAGGGAAAACATTACATACAAAATGAGCATCAAATGCAAATAATAATGAACGACAGGGCTACAGCATCAAACTAGGACCCTGGAGACTGGGACGCATGAAATCTATTGCATAAGATAACATTTAAGTTTTCGGTTGAAAGTGTTATGCGATTTGATGACTACAGGCATAACATGGCAATCATCGACTGTTCAGGAAAAGTAGCTCAGCTGGATCAAGATCAGGGATGACAAAAGGTCAATGACCTGATAAGGCTAATTCCTCACTCTGAATAAGAGTTGACTTTATGTGATGAGACTTTCTTTAAATGAAACAAGTGACAAGGATTTCTCACTTCTCAATGCGATCACTGCTGACCGTGTTGGCGATGCTCTCCGACAGGTTGTCCAGCTTCATGGCTGCCTCCGCATCCACCCGTCCCCCGTCCCAGTCAACGTAGCCCGAGGCGCCCTCCGCCCGGAGGCTGAAGCCCGCAAAGGCCCGGCGGAAGAACTGGAAGCGGCAGTGGCCGGCCGGGTGGCTGCCCTGGATGGCCTTGGCAATCTCCCCCTCCGTGATGGAGCGCAGGATCTCCTGCCGCAAGCTGGGGTCCTGGACCACCTGCTTGACGGCGGCAAAGAAGGCCATCCGCATGGTGCAGAACTCTGCCCACCAGCCATCCCTCTGCCTGGCATCCTCGTTATGCTTGGGAAACTTCCAGACAATTGGCTGCATGACGTACTCACAGTCTGTGATTGACACATTCCAGAGTAAAATTCATAAGAAAGAAACTCCTATCACGAGAAAGTTGCACAAGTTGCAAATTTTCATCAACAGATGACTGCCGCCAAAAGCCAGGCTCTAGAATTCGGTAATACAGTACAGTTTTCCACAGGCAGTTCTTTATCAATGCAAAGGAGCTTTCTCAACTTAATACAGAGTAAAACCACCGATTTGAAAAACCTACTACAAGGAGTATTTTGCAAAGATTGAGTAATTATGTTTGATTTAATGACAATGAACAAATGTCAAAATTTCAGAGACTAAAACCAAGACAGGGGGTTCCAAACCATGTGCAGGTACAGTGCACAAATAAAGGGCAAGCTTTCTGAAAGTACACCTTTCTACATGTACAACGGAGGGGTCATCTTTCATATTTCTCACCAACAGAGTTGGTGTCCAGCCGAAACCACTCCTTGAGGAGTCTCAACGCTTCCACCTTCGAGCTGTCTGTCTCCGCTTGGCGTTCGATGTACCCGATGATTGGCTCAAATACGGACTGAGACACGCGGTACGGGATGGGCCGGTACCCGTACTTCTGGCCCAGGATGCACACGAAAAACGGTCCCACGGAATTCTCCCTGGAATCGAAGCCGAAAAGCATGACATGCAGATTTTCAGGATTTTATGATATCTAGCAAGATGCCTTTGTTATCTTAATCAACAGTGACGTCAGTACAGATTTGTTGGTGAGTGTGCAGGAGTATCTGACTAATCATTATCAAAATCACGGCTTGCGCATGTTTGCACAGTCTAAATAAAGGTTAGGTAAGATTATGGATCTGTGCAGTAATAAAACTCGGCTTAAAGTCATAAATGGCATGTGTCCAAGGGCATGTGTCAACAATCACCAAGTTACACACATTCAGATGAAATTTTTGTCTAAACACATGAATTCTGCTTCCTGACATTTGCTGTGAGGAGCTTGGTGACATCAAGTCTAGATTCCAGCTCTGTAAAATTTTAGAATTTACCACACTTTTCTGTTTTAACCTGAGTGAGGAAAAGTCCTACCTGCATCTTTCCACTTCGTCCAGACAGATCTCGCTGGCCTGGTGGGCATCACATACAGTCTGCCGTATCCCCCACCGCATGTCTACAGGATTGAAGGACAGGCCAATCAGCCTGGCGTACTCCCTGACAAACGGATACACGTCCTCCATGAGCAGGTTCCTCTCCAGCTTCATATCGGTAAAGGTAGAGCTGATGAAGACCCAAACCTCCCGGGCGTTGCGCTTGAGGTGCGGCCAGGCTGCCTCCCCCTGCATCACCGAGCGGTAGTCCATCCCGCCGGCCCCAGCCCCTGCCCCGCCCTGCCGTGCCTGGCTCCGCTCCTCCTCCAGTGTCTCCTGGGCCTGAAGGAGGAGCGTCTTCCACGGTTCCCGCTCTCCGCGGCTGTTTTTCCACAGGTGGCCTGCCTGGCCCCCCTGCATGCGCAACACTGCCATGTGGGTGGCTCGGATGTTGCCAAACTTCTGCCACGACTTGTAGCGGCTCTTGGAGGGCACGGGGAGGGCCAGCCCCGTCTGGCCCATGGTCACTGCACCGTTACCCATTACTTCAGTGTCAAGCTTTGCTACAACATCGCTAATCAGTATTCCAGCACAAATAAATCATCCTGTAGATGTTGGAAGGCAACTGCTGTGCAAACTGACTAACAGTCTTCATGACAGCAGATTATTTCCATTGTTAAGCTTCCAATATGCACGCTGCAATGCAGTTCATCTTTAACAAACTTGCAAAAAGATCGGGTCCAGTGGAAGACGGCAAGTACATGTACACACAATCTAGGCAAAAAAAAATAGTGCACCACATTACTCCAGAAAAATTACACTAATATCATGGCACGCTTCCTTCCACTGTTCCAGCACTCGGCATCAAATTTTCTTCAAACACCAAGATAAAATTAATTTCTATAAACGTCATGTTGTCATCTAGATAGCATTGTGGGCCAACAGGTGGACTACAACCCAGGAATGTTGTTTGCAAATTTATCTTGTCTACCCTTCAAAGAGCAAAGTCAATAAAGTAATGGAGAACTATTTGTAAGCACCTACGTAACAGAGATACTACGGAGATACAGTTGCAAACAGCAATACTACAAACACTATTAAAGAAAGTGTTGGACTGCCATTTTCCTTTAATCGCCGTATTTGTTGGCATGGGATTACACTGTATAAGAATCTCCTTTCCTTTGCCCTGGCTAATGCTGTAAATTGTCCAGTGAGGCAGCTGCTGGCAGCAATACTCATGAATAATTCATGATGCGACAATCGGCTGATTATGACCCTGTGACAGTTGTATTGTGGATTGTACGGCTTCGGAGGGGTCAGGATTTAGGAGCGTGCATGTACATGTATGGTGTAGTTGCCAGGGGATTTTTCTTGGGGATTAGTTGCGTGATTTGAGCACTGAAGACTCTTTCTTTCGGGGGGGTTGATCCAGAACCATTTTTTGCAGGGGGGGAGAGAAGGGGCAAACTCATTTGTGGGGGCAACAATTTCAGAAATGTTTTCATGTAACCTTGCTTGCTTGTCGAATACCGTATTTTTACTTGTACTAAGCTTTGGAATATGATACTAAACAAAATCTTGGGATTTTAATCTGGGGCAAAAATCAGTTTTTAACATCTAAGTTAATTGTTGGTGAAAATAACCAGGAATTTATTCACTTAAAGAATACCTAAAAACTGGACAGAAATTCCTCAGAGCATTTCTTCCTGCTGTAGGCCTATAGTAGCTGGATTCATGGACCCAGACATTGGTGGCACTATTCCTGATAGGCCCAATGCTATTTCTAATATTTTTGTGACCATCGTATTTGACCTTGATAAATACCGAAAGGGTACTTGTATTAAAAATGAGAATGTGCAGATTTGCAGAATCTACGGACATTACTTAACTTTAAAAACTTTGAATCTGCGGTAATCCTTTTGGCCAAAAATATTTATTCCTACCTCCATGATTCGACCCACAAAATGACATGGCAACGTTCACAGAAATCCCAATTTCAGAAAAATAGGCCTATTACTGAATATACTTAAATGTACCTTGACTTTATTTCTGCATCGTACCTGCGGTACATGTTGGACTAGATTTGCATTAAAGAAGAAAACTGAAATATTATGACTAATTACCTTGCACATTATCAGCTCAAATCCACTGTTGCGATGAGGGAAGAGGGGTGCTGAGAGCCCCCTAGGGTTGGGAGAAATCCTAATTCACTCCCCTTCCTATAAATTCCAGTTCCACATTATGAGATACAGATATTTGAAATTGCATGTTATTTCTCAGTAAATATTTTAAAGGTCATCGAAACATGCACATAGCTGAGTTTAACATAACTTCCGTTCTGCAAGGTGGGAGATTTAGGCCTGTCATTTGAAAGCAACTTCAAAGCCTTCTAATCAAGGTAAAACATATTGAGATAAAATGGGGCCGAGTACAACTTTGACCTTTACGCACCACAAAAACCATGACCAAAAAAAAATTGTCTTCTGAACGATGTTCTGGCGGCTCCAACGTTTCGTAACACCAATATTAGTTACCATGAAAATACCTGGTGCGTGATTGTACGTACATGTGGGCCTAGCTTTTCTGAGCGAGGCGGTCCAATCACGGAGGAAGGAAGAAGTTAAGTTCCACAAACCACTATTTCCAAACAGCTAACTTACAATTAGCCTATTTAGTAGGCCTACATGTGCACCCAGACTTACCTGGATCGCTACACAATACCGCTAATCACGAACACAATATTCGAACTTGCCAAGTACAAAGCAGCAACTTCATTTCGCCATAAACGACCATGGCACAGCTCTCATATTACTCTACATACTGCAAACCAGACACCGGTGTTTTCTATGAGCAAACAAACTGAGAATTTCCGCGTTATCGATCTCGTCCTTCTCACGTGTGTATATTTAGTTTCGTGCGTCCTCGGTTTCCAACATGGTGACAAACCTGTTGTACGGCAACGTGGTACTGCGCATGTGCGGATCAATTATTGGCCGGAGTTCTACTGATTTGAGCCACGGCGCGTTATGTAATCGGCTGCTATAATTGGAACATGGCAGCGGGCAATCGTTGCAAGTAAGTCAAGTAACGATTGCAAATTAATCAGTGATTGGTTTTAAAGTGTTGCTTGTCTATTCCTGTCGACTCAGCTAGCAATGGGTGAGCGTATTAGAAATGAGCCACGGCCAAGGGCTCGGGGGGGGGGAGTGTCGTTGAAGGAGTCACGTCAAATTCGTTGGCTTAAAAGTACCGGTGCAATCAACTTATGCGATACGTGCGTCGGATAACAACCTTGACCGTTTTCTTCTGGATTTGCGACGGGGTGGGAGGGGTTAGGGAGCAAGAGGAGGGGAATATGGATATTTCTCACTCTTTTAGAAAATAGTGTCGAGTAAATTTGTGGCCCATTTCCTTTTTTTGTCCAACCTGACATCACCAATCCCGGACTAATCATTAAAAAAAAAAAGATTCAACAGTCTTGGGGCAATTCTACTGTTTAATTAACTGAGTGAGTCTTTTTCTATGATAAAAGTTCAGCAATTTACTAACAAAATACACACCTCAGTAGTGATTGTCACTCAATTCTTTATTGCAATTCCAAATCCAGGGAAAATATTCTGTCCACAAAAAAGTCCTTACCTAAATTATCAAACTAATCCGATAATAACAATAAAAACTTTTCAGCAGAAATCTGTCATTTCACTTTGTTCATCTGACAGTGCCAACTTAATGCTCGTCTCAATATACCAGACGTTACCAAAAATCTGTGCATTTTTATCACTTGATAAATGAGACGAACATTTTGGCATCTAGGAGTTTTACGTAAACATGACCGATTTCAAAATCACTCATCTTCAAGTTTTAAAAATGTGCCTAATTTCTTTCAGTGATGTCTAAAGTACTGATAATTGCAGGACCAAGCTACAGTACTAGATAAAGGAAATACATCTACGTGGAAAAACCTCATGCATAATTCACCACAAAAATTTACATATTTGCTTATTCATCAAGACACATTCCATGGGAGAAAATTTCAGACAATGTCTTTTCTTAGCTATCTATTTTCTTTGTAATATTAATTCTGTACGCAAGGAACAAAAATAGCATCCTATACTTCAAAAGTAACATTTTAAAAGATAAGTTAACTTGTTAAAAATTCTGCAACCGAAGTGAATAGATTAAAAATCTTTTTAGTGTCAAATATATGCAATTTGGGTATGAAAGAACTTGACATGGCAAAAAACATACATCTAATTTAGTGCGGTAAAGATGCGGTCAAAGATTGAAGAATTTTAATATCTGAATTGCTCTCAATAAAATAAAGACACCAGCTTTGTCTTTTACAATCACAAAGAAGTAGTGGGTAAGACTGAAATACCCTTTCCAAAAAGTGATAATATGAGGTTGGCAAAACGCTTGTCATATGCCATCTGATTTTCCTTTTTTGATTGGCAAATCAGAGGACGTAAGTTCATGGCGGTAAATCAGAAATGATGTAATTTCGTTCTTCAATACTTGTTTCATATTCAGCTCGACCAAACAGTGAATGATGACAATTCTATTTTGTGACACTTCTTTTGTGGTTTTTTTAGATTTTACCTGTTCTTGCCAAACCCTGTAGGCCACCCGGTGACTGCTGATTGCAGAGGGGAAATCTTTACCGTTCAGAGCAGAAACAAATTCAAAAATTGCAAAAACTAAATATAAAGCACACTGTTATTGCCTACATCACTTTTGCAAGCTGCCAAAAAAGTAGCAGTCAATTACATAATCCATTAAAAAACTAAAAAATAAAAGATAAATGTTTTTAAGTTCAAAGGATTTTCTAACAAATTAACAAATTTCTTTGTTTCTGTTGAATCACTGGCAGCCTTGTTTAAGTGTCTTGTTAGTTAAATAGAGAAAAATTAAACATTCAACCCATTTCACAGAAGTGCTTTAAAACTGGTTAAGCAAACCTGGCTTATCTTTAAAACAAAACAAAACCAAAACCAAAAAGTGGGTACCAGGCAATATAATACAGCTTATGATACATCTAGTTGACAACCATGCTCAGTTTTGAAGAAATGGCTAAGCAATTCTGTGAAATGGAACACTTTATATTTTCTATCTGACAAACTCCTCATATAAACAAAAATAATACATTATGCAAATGATACGACCTCTTGCTCATGAAATTTGCATAATTTATCATTTATCTTTGCGCTTTTGTGGAAGAAAGCTATACTTTGTTGAGTAAACGAAACCAGCAGAAGTGCCTTTCACGGTTCTGATAACAATTTATAATTAACTTGATCAGTTTTCTCTTAATTCACTTATCAAAATCTCAGAAATAACAAAATTGGAAGAAGTCCTCAATTAAGTACTGTAAAAGTGGTAACAATTGAAACTTTTTAGTGTGGCGTGAAGTCACTTTTCTAAGTTGTTATGCAGACTTTATCACTTGTTCATACAAGACACCACAAGATAGACAGATAGATAGATTTTGTTCTTGTTCATGAAATAATTTCCTATGAATACCACATACTCCGCATTTCTGATGAGAGATTGCAACATTCAAATCATGTTTTTCTCAAATCTTAAAGTACTGGATTTTTATACATGGTTGGTGTTTCAAGATTTAAACTTGGTTAAAGAACGATTTTGAAGTACTTCAGACATGCTACACTCTTTTAAAGTCAAATTTTGAGAATTTTTCTTTCTTTTAAAGTGCAATTTGAATTGTCCAGGGAACGCTAGCAAAAGTGAGGTTGATATCCTCACAAGTAGAGTTCCTGCATAACTGAAAGAAAGGTTGCATAAACGTTTCTTTAATTAAAACACATTACAGGCCTACCCTACATTATGTACACTACTTGTTAACAAGTTCATTTGGGAACACTGAGCGGCAATAAATACAAACCAGAAAAAAAGTCCTTCACTGAATGCCAACAAGGGATTTCCACAGACCAAATTCGAGCAACAACTGGAAAAGAGCACATAGTTTTGAATCCCACATTAAAAAAAACGTACAATTAGTCTATGGTAAAATGGAACAATCGCTAATGAAAATGTTTTAGGAAAACACATTAATTACATTGGTGCTGGCTTTCCACCCTGTGCACATTTTAAAAGTACTTCCTTAGCAGTCCACAAAAAATTACAGATCAGTGCTACATTCATTTTTTTTCAAAATACAAGTCTTTTTATCTTTTGTTCAGCAGATTTCAGAATTTAGACACGGGTGAGGAAGTAGATATTTTAAATATCTTGTTCATTGTTTTAACCACAGCATTTCACTCAATACATTCATATGATCACTTGATTGTTTGCCGAACTTGGAGTGGTTCTCAGAATGGGTTGCGTAGATCTGACATACATGTAGAAAAGCCAACAATTATTAATATCATTTAGATTAAATTACACTACTTTCTTTAGCAGCATTCTCATTCCGTTGCATATTCAAGTCTTTTCATCTGGGAGAAAAATCAACATGACAAAAAAACCAAACAAACCCACAGGGCACTTTCTTAGAGCTGCCAAGCTAATCAACTTTAAGTCAAATATCCTGGGTAAAAGATTACAAGATAAAACCAGCCTGCCACACAAATGAGTCTAAATTTAAACCGGAGGCCAACTAACCTGTTGGAACATTTATTTTAATGTGCGACATCTCTGCTGAGATGACCCCATTTTTTTTTTAATACCACCAGAACTATCTCAAAGGCTATTGCTCACATAAATTTCTCTTACGCATTAAATGACCAAAGAAACTGTGTAGCATCAGTTTCCATAAATAGCTGCCAAGTGAATGGATATCGAATGTCGTTTTCCCAAAGTTCAGATCAGGTGAACGTCCACAAATTCACCATTAATCCACTGGTGCTCAAGAGGGTGCCATCTGGAGAGAAGTTAAGACTCTCTCAGTCTTTCATTAAAGTGGCTATGTACAGGATTGTCAAACACTGAGTGTCCACATGGGGGGATTTAAAGATACCACTTTGCTTTTACCAACGATTACCAATTCTGAGAAAAGTTCTGCTCTAGCTCCAACTAGACATCACCCCCCCACCACATTCCACTGATTTGCTCTAGTCTAGTATCCTATGTAGTGCAGCTTGGACTTCAACACAGGGTTGGTTGTGGCCTATTTGTGGCAAGTTGCAAAGTTTCAATCTTTCACGGCTCTTCTGTTCCACACATTTGTCCATGTAAGGTTAGTTTTTTTCTAATTAGTACATTTCCCAAACACATTCTAGAGTTTTGGTTGGGAGAAACTCTGAGGAGCAGGGCTTTCAATCCCAAACTTGGGGAAGAAAAATTAAAAAAATAAGGAAAATTGCAGCCAAAATGTAAACCTCCAGGTTCGTTTGTCTGTGTCAGTCTTTCCCATCAGCCTTGGGCGCAGTTGGGGCAGACAATGTCCTGGCCGTCCATGACAAAGCACTCGTTGACCAGCGACACTTGGCACTTCTGGCATTTGAAGCAACTGTTGTGCCAGTTGCGATCCTCAAAGCAGACATATGTCGTGCTTCCTTGGCCTACCAATGAGAGAAGTGGGGGGGGGAACAAGAAAAAAAAGAGTGAGATTTTATTCTCCAGAAAATGAACAATCTTGATTTTCCTTTCTCTTAAAAAAAACAACAAGCTTGCTTGAATGTAACAATTCAATATGGCTGGCCAATATTTGAATACTTGATCATCAGCTTGAGTGTCCTTAGGCTGGACACTTTACTGCGATTGCTCCTTTCAACCAAGGAGTACCTATAGGTCCAGAGTTGGGCACTGTTTGAATCAAGTGCATCATCGTGTCCTTAGGCTGGACACTTTACTGCGATTGCTCCTTTCAACCAAGGAGTACCTATAGGGCCAGAGTTGGGTACTGTTTGAATCAAGTGCATCATCGTGTCCTTAAGCTGGACACTTTACTGCGATTGCTCCTTTCAACCAAGGAGTACCTATAGGTCCAGAGATGGGTACTGTTTGAATCAAGTGCATCATCGTGTCCTTAAGCTGGACACTTTACTGCGATTGCTCCTTTCAACCAAGGACCACAGGAGTACCTATAGGGGCAGAGTTGGGTACTGTTTGAATCAAGTGCATCATCGTTCTCTCTGTTTACACCATAACTACCGTGTAAATGCTTCTGAGGCTAAGGGAAAGGCCAATTCTCACTAATTAATAGGAAACCAGACTGTTTCTCCTTTGGTTGAATGCTTGACTACCAGGCATCTTAGTATAGTGCCTGATTTGCCCGAGTTATACCTTGTTGTGGAGGGTTGATATTCATAGGTGATCAATGCTGCCAATGCCAAATAAATGGTACACGTATTCTATAACTGGCTGGCTTTAATTAGAATTGCCAAATTAGGAAATGCTTAAAAAATTAAGTGGTGACTGCCTGTGTTAATAACAGCAGAAAAATGGCATTGAGTTAGTCAAAACCAGAGAGCTACAAAATCTTCATCCAACACTTGGTTTCTGCATCTTTGAAAAGTCACATTCAATCATTAAATTAAAAAAGTGAGGTCCCTCTGAACCACGTGTCCCTGAGCATAATTACTACATTGACTTTTTACACAGCACCAAATAGGAAAACTTGTTTCAAAGTATAGTGCTTAACAGCAACAAAATGTGGGACAAGTTGGATTGCAAATAGCCAAGTCTGCTTTCTATTCTTGATGAGTGCTTATTTGGTTTGCCTTCAGGTCAACAAATTCATTTTGCTCTTCCACTTTCTGTTTTTGAGCACGGTTTGGAAAGAAACCCTCTTGCAGATGGTGTCTTCAACCCAAGACAGCCCAGCTGCATAGCAATGAACATAAGTTTAAGCTTGCATAGCAGTCTACGGAGTACAACAGTGATAAAAGCAGAAGGTAAAACAGTGGCTTTTGTGCAGCTCTAGTTAAGGATCAAGCGGAGGATCTTGACATTATTAAAGCAGCATAAATCCCAGAAATAAAAAATGGGTTGACAGAAGATGAAAGCTTTTCAGAGCGCTCACATTCTGCAAGCAGCTGAAGACACAAAACCAACTCTATTTGTTTTTAAAGAAAACCTTAATGTCAAAGTTTAACGAACATCTCTCTTCATATTGACTACATTCCAAACACAAAGTAACCCACTGGTGCCATTTCCATGATACTGTGAATGCATGCACAAATTCTCTTCCTCCCAAAATGTTAATAAACCTCTGGCAGGTGTCTGTGCTCAATACAACATCCAGCATCCCACACTTCCACCAAAGACAAAGGGCTGTCTGTGTACAAGGCGGCATACACGTACAAGCAGAAAAACACTTCCAAGAACTCTTCTTTTCGAGGGGATAGTTAGGTCCACGGGGGAGTCGACAACAAATTTGGGAAGGGAGTTTCTGGAAAATAGATAACTAGAACACAGGGTTTACTGAACACTTCAATGAACTTTTCTTCCTCCGAGAGCACAAGAAGAAAGCAAGCATATCATATCATCTTACACAGTTAGGGAGGTTGCAGGAGAACAAAGGAGGAAACGGATCACGAGAAAACAGGACTTTTCTGGCTTTGTTGATAACGCCTTTTTCACTTGATTTTTTTCAATATCAAATTAAATTCTCCTTTTTTTCAAAACGGATACAACTTTCAATACTCAGATTCCCAGATGTTTATCTTTTTAACATGGCATTTATTTCAATATTTATGGGGCTTGAAAAGGGGTAAGGAAATTGTTTGAAAGGACAGGAAGGAGCACCTTCACATTTAGATTGTAATCTTTTGGTCAATGACACCAGACTTCATTTCTTCCAAAAAATGGAAAAAAATGGAAGATGATAGAGCAGTTCTAATGAAAGTTATTTCGATGCGATAAATCAAGGTTTTCCAGAAGAGAAAGACAACTCAAGCTTGAAGTGTGCACAACTACTGCAGTGATATCATGCATTATGTCTTGTCATTTTTGTCTAGCATTAATGACTTGTAGGATTGTTATAATCTGTGATCGATGAAAGTGTGATATATCTCATCATGGATACGAGCGTACAACATACATGTAAACTCGCCTCATAAAAGTACCTATGAGGGAGCATGAGCCAACCACTTCTCAACAATGGAAAGTGACTGATGTCACCATGGTAACAGCACCCCTAACTGCTGGCCTGCAGTTCCAAAGTGTGATATCCTGTGCCTACCAATCACACCTGTTGTAGCCCTTGTGCCAATGAAAGCTTGTAGGGCACGGACGAGTGAGCTTTGTTTGCCGGTAGAGTATGAAGTCAGAGGTACATCAATCTAGACATGGCTGGTCTACAATTTGTTGCCGTCTCTTTTTTTACCTGATAATGGTCTTACCAGACTTCATTACTAGAGAGGGTAAAATCTGTGCAATATAAATTCCTAGATTTGTTTTAAATTAAAGGTGGATATTTGGCCACTCCGGGTTACAACTAGTTTGCCTGCGTTCATTGAACGTCTCTGCCTGAAAATAATTCATCCGGGTTGACAATCAGCTTTCAATTTCTGAACAAAATTGCCTCTGCAAGGGCCTACAATTTCATCTGCAAGCTTACCCCCCCCGGCCTTCATCCCGGAGTCAGTCCGATCAGTGCTGAAATAGATTCAGCACAGACGAATAACTACAGTTTGGTGAACCCGTGGTCACAGTGACAAAGATGACAGCTAAACATGATACAATGATTACATGTACATGTAGACTGTAAACATAATCTGCCATGGATGGAATATGAAACGGAATAGTTGAAGAGCGTCAGGATGATGCAGAGGGCAATTTGACATGAAAACTAACACAAGAACTGCCATGCATGCAACGGAAAGAGTTCAAACAATTTCTACTGGGCTACGGTTTGGGCAGCTGAGTCAAAATTACCACAAAAATCCATTTCAAACATGACGATTTCCCATGACAAAGTCCCTTATTCATTAGAAAAGGCATCCAAACTCATTATACAACTCTCATTTGACTATTGAAATTTGGTCTTCTTTCCGTTTGAGAGCGCCAACACCCTCAAAAGTCCGTAAGTGCATTGTACTCGTTTGAAACTCCTTAACCAATATTCTTCACTCTTCCTCACCTCAAGTTGGTTAGCATTTCCTTATATCTGACCAAAAAGGCACATTCTCTGAATGCTGAATACAGAGATCCTGAATGCCTACCCTCTTCATCATCTGTTTACCCAACTGAACTTTTATTTTTTGTCTTTTCTCATGACCACAGAATGCTTTGTATAGTAAATGGTTCTGGAGTTTATTAAAGCACAGTGCACGGATGGAGCAAAAGTAACAGAGTTTTCCAAACAAAGCCACAACCATAAGGCTGCAATGATTGACACCTCGGTTGATTAATAGGGCTTTTAAGCAACTCAAAGTAGCCGGAAAGGATGAAAACGCAGGAAACGTGGATGAGGGAAAATTAAGGAAAAAAAGGGGGAAAAAAGAGAAAAACTCTGAATGCATGTAGAGCTTCACTCAAAATGCCGTACAGTCCTTACCAGAAGTGGCATCGCCTGAAGCTGCCCCGCCAACTGAAGAAAAAGGGGGAAAAGTCGGTTGGAATTTCTTTAAGGTCGGCCATGCAACATGCATATTCATACTGTAAACCGAGATGAATGGAGGATGCCCAGAGCAATGAGAAATGCACAGATAATGTACATACGTCAAAATGATACATTTATCAGCTAATCACGATGGAGATGATACTGATGTAACATAAGACACGGAACTCTGTGGAATAACATGAAACAAAACTGCCTGCAAACATGAGGTGGATTCAGCAACACATTTTGCGCCTGTCTATTACAGGAAACAGTTAAAATGTGAACAGTACGGCCTCGGTGTGACAAAAGGAGTTTGATATAGTTGGGACGTGGACCCCAGACCTCCCAATTGGTGTTGTGGGGCTCAACCCACGAGCTACAGCTCTCCTGGATCTCCTCGTCTCTCGCTGGTCAATTGGTCAGGCGAGGAGCCAATTAAATGCCACTCAGAACTGACTAATTCTTCAACTCTTACACTCCATGCTGTTTAGTGTTAGGAAGAATATTAGCTTTAATGCACTTTGTCAGACTGACAAGGCTACATGTACCGCATTAATTTTGACATTTAGAAACCCCCCCAGTGAGCCCTGTTTTCAAGACTGACAAGAGGACCACAGTTTCTGAACTAACTTTCTAAATAGCCAGACACTTCAAAGACAAAGACACACCAACAGGAGGAGAGTTATACAAAAGCGGGTCAAGGAATGGGTAAAAGGGTGAAGAAATATAAAACTATGATGATACCCTGCACAAGCGGCAAATTCACTTCACAGTTCCCAGTTCAATCCCATAAACCAATGATTTCAAGGCATTTGGAAAACCTGTTGGGTTTTCCAAATTCTGCAGCTTTTCCTCAATTTCAATTCTTTTCTCCACTCTTCGTTTCGTCTGAAACTTCATAATCAGTTTGGAATGCCTGCTGTTTGAACAAAATGACAAAAGTCTAAAAATAGCCTCATATTCGGCGATTTCATATTTCTGGAGCAGAGAATAGAGGCACGGTGAGCCGAAATATCTTAACTCAGGCAACTAAAATTCAAGAACCAAAGCTTCGAGGAGATGAAGCCAAGATATTGGAAACTGCTCAAGCAGATAAACATTTAGCTGTGTTATGTGGGATTTTGATTATTTTCACATGCGCGGATATACTTGTTACTTAGCTACCACCAATGGTAGGGCTTTGCTATACGCACAAAAGGGAGACCATTTGAAACATTTTGGGCTAGGGAGGACGGCACGCATCCCCGGATACCTAAACACATGACTTTCAATCCTTAGAAGGGGAAGGGAACTTGGGGTTACACAAGAAAAAAGGAGGGTAAAAAAGTCGGCCACTTAACAGGAAAGTGCTCACTGCCACACGGCAAAGCTGGCAAGACAAACTTTGGTCAAACACTGGGACTTTCCCTTGTACTGTTTAACAGACACAGCAGGGTCAGATTTGCCTGGGAATTGAAACACCAGAATGCCGATCCCAAAGCACCACACTTTGGCTTCCAACTTGCATCAGAAAGCGGCAAGGTTAGTGAAGCGAGCGGCACAAAGTAATGCTTTACATGTTTACAGCAAAGACAACTTCCCAGGTCCAATTGGAATGAACGTCTGTTGCCGAGATGGATTCGCCCAGGGTTAGGCACCATTTCAAAATTCTTATCAGGTAGGTGTCAGACAGAACGATCCGACCGATACATTTATTATCAGTTGGCTATCAGGTGAAGTGTTCTCAAGAGGACAATTCTAACTGATAAATGCCTTTTTATTGCATTACTCCCAAGGCTATGTGGTTTCAGTGGAGCAACACCCCCTCCTCTATTCACTCAACACAAGTCTCTGTTATTATTTACTGATCGGTCAGATGGCCCTGCCCTATAGTCAACTGACAGGAATTTTGAAATGACGACTTAGCTATCTCAACAACAGAACATAGACCAGGGCAAAGTGATTTCTGAAAGAAGAGCTAGAATTTTATGTACGACATCTGAAAGAAAAATGGGAAGAATTTCATTTAGAGATTCAATTAACCACTGAAATGATTGATTTTCCAGGCAGTTTAAATGTAGTGGACTAGGAATGAGATTACCTGCAACACTTTTACCGACTAAGCCCGTAATGTTTGGATACTCACCATGATACAGCAAGCAAAATTAACTTTAAAATAAGCCCAGGCTTTACAGGAAAGCAAGCAGCAAAGGCGTAAGGAAACAAAGGCCGAGAAAAGTCAGAGGCGGGAGGCTAGCCACACCGCATGCCGGTCTCCCGGACCGGAAAGAAAATAGACCTTACCGACGATGGGCTTCAGGCAGGCCGAGCACCGGCGGGCAAACTTCTCGCCGTAGCAGTCGGCGCAGTAGCGCTTCTCATCTCGCAGCGTGAAGCGCTGGTTCCAGAGCGACTTGGAGCAGCCCGAACAGCAGAAGCAGTCCCGGTGCCAGGGCTTCTTCTGGTAGGACAGACCGCCGCTGGAGATGATCTGCAGAGGAGCAGGGGAGACGGCGGTCCAACACGGGCTCGGCATTAGGATATTGGTTGTGTGAAGAAAGATGCGTGGGGGGGACAAGCATTTGGGAATGTGTTCAACTCAAATATGTAACCAGTACATTGTTGCTCTTGGAGATTCTCAAAAGGAAACGTACTGCCCTCAAACATCTCATTTAGGTGTCAACCAAGTAGGCTCACACTAACACATCTGTTTTGGGCCTAAAAGCAGGCTTGTCACCAAAGGGGGGAGAGGCCCAGAGGGACCACAGCAAGCCGCTGCCCCCTCCATCAGCAAAAACCATAACCACAACAATGATCTAAGGTTCTTGTGATGCGACCCTCCCCACCCAAGTTGGTAACACCCCCCCCCCATGCCCGAAGCTGGCAACTGGGCTGGCCATACGCTCTGGTATTTGGCCTACCTCCATGCTGGCCACGTGGGCAATAGCCTACCTGTCCACAGCCGGTGCACTTGATACCAAAGGTGTCCTCGTAGCATTTGGTGCAGTAGACTGATGAGTCCTTGGGTACAAAGCTGCCCGTGCCAATCTGCTTGTCGCAGACCTTACAGCGGAAGCACTTGTCATGCCACTCTTTGCCTTGGAAGCCGAGCCTCGTCACACCTACAAGAAAGACGGCGGGAAGAGGATGGTATTGAGACTGGTTTTATGACGACACATTTGGAGCCTCCTTATTACCGAATGGAGTGCCCTCTGCTGGTTTGTTTTTTTTTTCAGAGAGTGGAGGGCAGAAGTGATCTGCTCTTGGCCAAACAGGCTCTCTACTGGAGCTTACTCACATTTTGCTAAATAAGGGCTGATTACATTCAAGGACCATTAAGAGCCAAATCAACGAATCATACTATAGGTGAGGGGTAGCACATTAAACTTATTTCCATCAGAATGTGCCCAAAATAAAGGCACACATTCAATGAGCCCCACACATCTAAATTGGGCAAACACACAGGACTCAATATCAGAGGGCTGTTCAGCAGAAAATCTTGATCCGCAAGTTTACATGCTAAGCAATATTAGAAGGGTGCCGGCCACAAGCAATATACATATTATGACACTTTTGGCTGGTCACCTGTCTTTGCTAAGCATACATTTTCCCAAGCCAAAGCAAATTTCCAAGCCTAACTGCAGTATGAGATTGACCCCCGGAACGACCCTGCAGTATCCTCAGCTATGCCGGCCGGTGGCTGTGAAAGAAGTTACACAGGAGGGAAAAGAGAAGGAATGGGGAGAACAGGGAAGAGAGTTGCTGTACCAGGCTTGAGGATCTCCCCGCAGGCCTGGCACTTGTTAGCCAGGTGCTTCTCATAGCACGTGGAGCAGCACATCTTGTTGTCCCAGTTGCCAAAGGCCTTGTCGGCCAGCGACTCCTTGCAGAAGTGGCAGGTGTAGCGAGTCTCAAAGCAGCTCTCATGGTAGTGCTGATTCTTGAAGGACAAGTCCTTCAGAGAGAAAGGTAGGAGAATTGTATTGAGTTTTGACTTCTAGTTTGAGTTGGCTCTTCAAAATCACTTTTCACACATGACCTGATCTCATGAAATGAGTCTTAGGGCCATCCTTTCAGTAGGTTTGTTTTAGCTTTCATTAGAAAGAGCAGAACAAGTTCTTTGATTTGATGCGTTACTCAGTTTGGACAAAGAGCGGGTGAAACATTTTGAGAGTTTGCATTGATTTTACACCGTGTAGGATTCCCCTTACAAGGCCTTGAACTCCAGGCCTGTTGCCTGACCGGAGACTGGGAGGGTTGTCAAATCCAAAAGTGTAACTCTTGGCACTGTGAACACATATTTTTATGGAAAGGGCTATCATAATGTGCTTTGGAGCACAGCATCAAACAAATTCCATGTTTGTCGTGAACCGAAGGATGCATGTAAGACTTGCATAGGCCCCTACTTCAGTTTTCAATATTCATTGGCCTGGTATATGAATTCGCTCTTCACTCAGCACCTTGAATCGGGCGCTGGGTGACGGCGAGCGAATGATTTGAACATTATTATTAAAACACTCTCAGAAAATCCCACAAAAAAGTCAGAAGTTCTAAAAAAAAGTGATACATTCTAGTAAATCATTATTACCTCCACTCACCTCACTAAAAATGGTAAAAAAAGAATATTTTAGGGCACATTTCATTTTGCACTTTGGAAAAGAAATAAAAAAATCGGGCCAAATTAACATTTCATTGGAACTTTGTAGCGGGTATATGAAATCGACATTTATGAATCAAAATATTTGGAGTTTGATTAAATTTCTCCCTTTTGTGAAATTGGAGATAAAATGTTGCTCCATACACAAATGTTAGAAGTGAAATTTCGAAGAGCCCATAGGGTCCGCGCCACTTTCCGGTGCGCATTCTCCAATTGTAACGTGAAGCAGCGCACGAACAAGTGTTTTCATTGGGCCTAAACTTTCTTGAGTCCTTGAAAATACCAATTTTAGTGGGCTGGATTAGTGTCCTGGGTCCTCGCTGGATGGGCCATGAAGCTGTTCTTTTTTAGACCACTAAAATGATAAATAATATGGATTACACAACCGTAAAAGACAAAAACTAACAGATGTACCACACAATGTTTGAGGGGCGAACGGTACTTACAGGGCCTTTACAAGTCTTTCTGGACTGGTTTCCTTTCCAACACTTGAGTAGAGCCAATGTAAAGGACAACCAATGAAAACTGCCTTGTCCCCGCGTCCGGAACGCTGCGCTGCGCCGGTAGTACGCATGGCTGGCTGGCCGCGGCGTTGGTCCGGGTTCTGCTGCGCTGCAGGCATGGAGCGGCGTTTAGTTTAGTTCATTATAAACCGCACAGACATTTTCCGCGTGAGAATCAATGTATAAACCGCGGCTTACATTCAGAAAATTGTAGTAGGCCCCTATATTAAAGTTATATATTTCTAACAACCAAAAAAACCCCACACACACCAATGAACGGAACTTGGAAGCGAGCGGGGGGTCAAACCCCCCGAACCCCTCCAGCCTACGGGCTTGAACTCACTAGTGACTCTGGTAACTTATGAGATGTGGCTCATTTGTTTGGTTGAGTCACACATCTTGAGTGTTTGAAGAATGGTTTCAGAACCCAATGCAAAATGGGTTTTGTGATCCAATACTGTGACTGACTTCATTACGAGTCCCTGCAAGGCCATCTGAAGCCCATCACAAGCCAACTGGTCCAGGACCCGAGTCACAAACTATTCAAATAAGCTGTGACCAACAAATTCCTTTGTAATCATCCAACCACTCAAGTTATGACCGGTCTCGAGAAAGGACTTGTGAAAGGACTTGTGTCAGACTCTGGCTACGACACTGCCGCGACCGGAAGCATTACCTTGGAGTCGTGTCCAATTTTCTGGTTGCATTCGGCGCAGGTGTTGGCAAACAGGTCGTTGTAGCAGGGGATGCAGTGGGGGTTGTTTTCCCGTAGGATGTAGCTCATACCGCTCAGCGACTTGTCGCAGTGGTTGCAGCAGAAGTGACCGGGGTGGAAGGAGCCGTCCATGGCACGCACGTACTCTTGGGAGAAGATCAACTAAGACGAGTAAAAAAAGCCACAGAAGAAAACATAAATGATGCATTCAAGACAGTTTGTTTGACTTTGAGTACCTCTGGGTCAAATTTGTTATTTGTTATTATAAAAAGTAAAGACAGGCCACCAGTTAAAATGGTGTGCAATGCACTACTTGGCTGGTTACCAGGTAAGTATTTACTTAGCACATAACATCTTCCATAAACTGGTGGGAGAAAGCTCTTCACACTTAAACCCTAATAGAGGTGTTAAGAGCCACCTCCGATACCTTGTTGCCACGGCAACTATGATGAGGATAGATGGGCCTTCGGAGGCATCAGCTGTTTGAAAATTGCCCAGGGTGTAAAGACAACCAAACGGTGTGCATATCTGCCACTGACCTATCACGTACATGAAATCATTATGCGTCAATGCCACCTTGTCGCTGCTAAATCCTACTGCCATGACCGGAATAAATCTGAAATGTTTATTCACGGTATGCGTAATTTTTTTCCAAGCGCCAAGAACTCTTTATCATATTAAATGAATACTTTGATGGAGATAGTTCACATCTTCAACATTTGGAGCTCAGATGAATTTCAAGGATGAAATTTCAAAGTGCAAACACAGCAAAGCCAACATTTGACTGGAATAGACAGTGGGCATTATGCTGAATGCGACCACTCCCTGTGGGACCAGCGTGCACATCTGGCGTTCGCACATCTGCTGTAATGAAGGGCGAATGTGAAACAGGAATAAAGATACCTCCGCCCACGCATGCACCGAGGACTTCATGACCATATTGCAGCAGTGGGGCTGGCTTCAATAGTTTTCTGATGCAAACATCCCATTAAAAACCAATCTAAATCCTTCAATGCCAACTTTTTCGCACACCCCAAGTGGTTTGGGTTTTGACAGCAGATGTCTTTCCTTTGTTTAAAAGTTTTCCAAAAAGTCATCCCAGTTTTATTAAAACCTCAATGCCACAAAGCAAAAAAACAACAAACAAGAATTATAATTTGATGATAAAATAATGGAGCAAACACAGGATTCCAAGAGACCAAAATGCTGCGCGGCTATTTTGTCATAATGGCCATATTGATTAACCCTGTCACCCCACAATTTATTCATTTCATTTTATTTTAAAGAACACAGCTCAAATTTGAGCTTCCTGGAGTTGCAATTTCTTTGTTAATTGAAAAGAAAATAAGAGACAGTCTTTCTCTCAATTATTCTAGCAAAACTACCTTGCTGTCGACATTTAACAGCACACTTTTTGCGTAGTCTAGATCTGGGCTTCCACATCAAATACATATATATGAATACCTAGCCTCGGGCCATGCACTATTCCTTCACATGTAAGCTAAACACAGCCTGGCAAATCCTATTATTTACAGTGATTTAACAGCCGCATTTTAAAAATATTACCACCTCAGCGAACAGACAGACAGATGTAACCTTTAGCTGTACTTTCACATTCGTGTTCAATTCGGGAGCAACCGTGCTGCATTTCATTGAAGGTGTGTAGAACCCCATGAAGGTGATTTGAAGCCAGTTTGAGGAAAGGGCATACGAGTTCGTCAAGTTTGTGTCCATAAGCAAGACACTTTATTTCAACTGTGTCTCTCTGTCAAGTAGCAAATGTGTGCCCTGAAGGGCATGGCTGGCTCCCGGGTGGTTGATCACAAACTTCCAATGAGCAAGCAAATCCCGCGACTGAAACCTGCTTGTCAATAGTTCAGACGGGTGAGAAAGTGAGTGTAGGCACATTGGTCAGGGTACACTGACTTGACAGTCTTCTCGTCCAATTAGCCCAATGGTCGATTTCACAACTATCCAGAAAAACTGAGCAATTTAAAAGGCAAACTTGTAGCAGATTTTATCACCAGCCCATTCAAACGTGATTGTTAGCCAAGCAGCTGAAGGTAATGACGACTGGAAACTGGATTCCTCAATCAAGCAATAAACTCTTCAAAATTGGGAAGCCAGGCCTCAAGAAAGACTAAACAAAACTCGGCGAACCAACAGTAACTGTTATTATGAGCAATGATGAAGATTTTAATGGGGACAGAATCTTATGTTAGGGAACGTTTCATGATTACAGAAGGCGATATTTACTGCGGTACCGCTGTTTTTTGGCGGTACCAGCATTAAGCCCTTTCGGGTAACCAGTGCGGTGCCGCTAAAAAAATACAGCGGTACCGCAGTAAATACCGCCTTCAACAATTATGAAACGCTCCCTTACAATGGCACATCACCTGGTTGCAACTGGAATGTTCCACAGCCACATTAATCTCTCTTTTTTTCTCACTTACACTAGAATTAAAATGTCCGATATCCAGGGGTCCAAAAGGGAACAGTACACAGATGGTTTAACCATATACCTGAAGGTTGTATTTCATGAAAATGTGTTTCTATCGGCAAAAGCCTAGCTCAGATTTCTGCTTTCAAACCTAACATTTTCTAAAGTCATGTTCTAAAAACAAAACTTGAAAGTAGACAGACATATGGAAATTCCATTTTTGAACTGTCTTATACCTGATGCCCTGAAGCACTATGTCATGACTTGTATTAAGGCGCATGATTTTGCCAGGCAATAGACAAGTAAGCCAAGTACTGCACATTTCTGCTAAGAATGAGGTTACCGGCTAAGCTGTCCTGCTAGAGACACTACTGCCATGGTTGGTCCCTTGTATCAACTGCTCATAACTCATTTGTCAAGCAGAGTTGACTGCCCCACAGGAACCAAATGGAGCAAAACAGCCTATTACTGCCACCTCCATTATGCAGGGAACCGACCTACATACCACACTGGGAGGATGACCCCGAAAACAACAACATTGCTGACCTTGACCCCGATGAGACAAAGGTGCACTGGGAAAGCAGGGAGTGGTGTAAAAAAAAAAGGTCACACATGCATCCAACGAAAGGAGTTATGTAAATGCAGACTATTGGTATGCCCCGCTGCCTTGGGACAGCTTCCGCTGAAGGCCATGCATATTGCTTTAATCATTTTTCCTGAATACCGCCACCTTTTCAATTGCTACAAACTTAGTTCAGCTGCCTGGTAGCACCAAGCAAACACTGTCAGTTTCTAAACATTAAAACTGTATGCATATTGACAGATGGGCCGTCCACAAACCACACGCACCCAAAATAACACCAAATTCTGCCCAAGCTATTTCGGGCGTAACTTTCACTCATCAAGGTGCAGTATATATGGAGAATCCAGTCAAGGCTGACATGTTTATTGCCAGATCAGCGCAAAATGTTACTGGTAGGTCGAAAGCCCTCGACAGATCTACATGATACATGTAATTGATTCATGCCAAGCTCAGTTGGGGGGGGGGAATCAAATGTAACAAAATTCAAAGGTGGGGTGTTGGTTAATTACACAATACCAGACGGGCACACATATGTGACCCACTCTGTGAAAATGAGTCTTAAGTTGCCAGAGCCACTTTGGAGTAAAAAGTTCATTAGAATACTTTTGCACAGTGTAAACCAATAGGGACCCACAGCATTGTTCACCATGGAACATCCACTTTCATCAGGATGCCAAACTGAGTGATACATCAAAACAAAAAAACTCAATTTGCTCTTTCCAATACAAATGAAAACTCAAAAAGTGGCTCTGGCGACTTAACACTCATTTTCATAGAGTGGGTCACATATAACACGGTTCAAGTAAAATAACTATAACTGAGTCCATAGCATCCTGCACTATACTGCCCACACTTGAAGTGAGGTTTGCAAGTGCAGAAAACCCTGGGGTCAAAGAGGATAGGTAAAAGGTTTCAGTCTACCCTCACCCTGAATGTTTCCAATCACGTTCTAGACTCTAGATCTTGATTTGAGGAATTTGGTGACATGGTTGCTGATTTGTGCAATTCTTGAACCAAAATTTTGCCATCAAATTTGTGTCTTACAAATAGCAGACTGGTGCAAACTACAGGCAGTTTCCAACTGAGATAAGCCAATGTGCCATTGGGGACAGCCTAATGTCACAATCCTTCCAGAGTAGGTTGGATGGGGACGAGATTTTTGTGGGAGGAAATCTCTTTAGTCTCTTCTCCAGACCCCAGTGCCTCAGTGCTACATCTCCTACAAGAGTCTTATCTCCTCCCCCCCCCCAAGTTGTTGGGCTTCAAGCTTCTCATTAGATCTACTTTAAACCGATAGAGACCAGCTGCTCAGCCAACATACCGAAGTCAATTTCTACACAATCGGAATCACATCTCCCCCCCCATCTTATCAACAGAGGGCACAAGTTCCAGAGCCTCACTAAACCAAAAACGGCCAGCCGAAACGGGACGGCTGTTCCCGCTCAACATATTTTTTCCTCGCGGCGGCCCAGGAATTCGGTCTTTTGTCGCTGTCGAGTGCGTCAACCTGCTAAATAGATACGTCCTACCCAGTATTACTATGACTCTGTTATCAGAAGTAGAAGAGGAAGCTCTTACCTGCCCACAAGGATGACCCCACTTCCTGGATGCCTGAACACAAAAAAATATTTTTATAGTGCCCGCCAAGGTCAACCATCACCTCAACGAGATAATTTGGAGAGAGCACTCATTCAGTCCACATCCATCCCGCAGTTTTTTGGTTTGGGTATGTAAGGGTCAAAGGCAGAGTCAGGGTATGCGACCTCTCTTTTGTTTATACAGGAGACTTGCCAGGACAGGAAGAGGCCATTTGTTGTTGCTTCGGAGCCAAACCACACCTTTGTTCTATTCGTTTTCATCACAGTGTTGAAGCATTCCCAGTGCTTCACACTCTTTGGGGTTACCCTGTCCTACAACATTATCTGAGAAACTCAAAGAAATAAAAGCACTGTTTCAAGAAATCTGGAAAAAAAGACAAGGCGAGAGAACTTTACTTATGTTTGTTACAAAGTAGACGCATTTGGAACAGTGACTGCCATTTCATTGTATGACAAGATAGCGCAGGAGAACAAGCAGCACACACAAGACTTCTGTGGAGTAGAAAACTCCAATTTCACAACACTATCTTTTGACAGATGT